AAACCCAATTCTTAAATACTTGCCTGAATGTCTGGGATGGTTATGAATGTTTCCCTGAGAATCTTTAAGAAAAGAAATTCAGGCCGGGCGCAGTGGCTCACTCCTGTAATCCTAGCACTCTGGGAGGCCGAGGTGAGAGTATGGCTGGAGCTCAGGAGTTCAAGACCAGCCTGAGCAACAGTGAGACCTCGTCTCTACAAAAAATAGAAAAATTAGCTAGGTGCCATGGTGTGTACCTGTGGTCCCAGCTACTCGGGAGGCTGAGGCAGGAGCATTCCTGAGCCCAGGAGTTTGAAGTTACAGTGAGCTAAGATGACACCACTGCACTCTACCCAGGGTGACAGAGCAAGACTCTGTCTCAAAAAAAAAAAGAAAGAAAGAAAGAAAGAAATTCGGTCTGCAGAACCCAGTAGTGAAAAAAAAAAAAAAGGAAAAGAAATTTCAGTTTCCTGAAATAGTCCAGGCTTCAAGTGAACCTATTATTCAGGAGGGTTAAACTAAATAACCTTTAAAAGTTTTTTTCCAACCATGTTTTTTTCTGTAAATTGTCTTAGGTTTTCCCCTCGCCTCTCATTTCAGAGATAATCAGCTTGTCCTTACCCCCAGTGTTGTAGGATTCTAAAGAAAAAAAGAAAAAAAATTAAAATAAAAATCAAAGATAATCAGCTTCTTCACTAGCATATAATAGGAAAAAAAAAAAGATAATCAGGAAGTCTCCTAGGATAAGGTTATTATATTCAAGTCTTGCCAAAAAAATGTAAGAAAAGAAGCTCCTATTTGATTGGATCAAGAGAAACAATTATACTTCCTAAAAATAAAATGAGCCTAAGCTAAGAAAATGAGAAGGTTTATAAAGAAGATCAGTACTTCTTTTTTGGTCTCCTTTCATCACTGCATGATTTACTTTAATAGTAGCCTGTCATTTCAAACTAGGTGACTCAGTGGCCTGGTCATAGTTTACAGAGCGTTTCATCTCTAGTCACCCATCCGGCCTATGAAGAAATTGACATTTAGTCATTACAGAGAAATGCCACTCACCAATTATTATTCTCTACCATAACCTCCTGACCCTCGCCCAGTCAAAAATATTGGAGCTATTCTGCTTTTACCTAACCAGAAAGAGAAAAGAGAAGATAAAACGGGACTTTGATATTAGGGGGCTGTGGCTCACTTCTGACTGTCACATAGGAAAAGGTGTTTTGAATTTTGCCCCATTAGTTCCTACAGCTGGGAACTACAACGTGAGAACTACAACTGGGAACTACAACTATAATTTTACCCCATTAGTTCCTACAACGTGGGAATTTGTCATCATAACTGCCCTTTATCTATTTTTCAAGAATGAAACTGTTTTCCCCAATAAAAGTTTAAGGGAATGAATTAATTGGTGTTTTGGGCAACGGTGTTATGAGTATCGCTATACAGTTTGGTCCTTACACGGTTAATTAAAAGGAAGTCTGGCATTCACAGAGCTACTTTCCAATTAAGTTATCAGACCCTACCAAAAATACAATCCCCTCTCTGATCTCATAGCCACAGTGACAAGTGATTGCCGAGTTTATGCCGATGTACTTCGAGATTTCTGATATGACCCAGAGGGAGGTCCTCATCCCGGTGTTCTGAGTGCTGGCCCCTGGGCCTGACCCTGGTTCCTCAACATGTGGCCCTGCTTGGCATGGAATATCACATCCTCTTGGGGACTGTAAGTAATACATTCTTCCTTCTTTGAAGACAGTTGTCTCCCTGTCTGTCCTTTACCATATCTGATTAAAACAAAATCCCAAGTGTATTTTAAAACAGAGGATGAAGAGCAAACTAGAGCATTTGCAACACTCATTGGCACATAGTAAACATCCAATAAATTAGAACTTTTGCTATAATTATCTTTTTTTTATTTCAGCATATTATGGGTATAATTCTCTTTAAATAGATGCCTCACAGGCACTTAATTTCAACATGCCCCAAATCAAGCTTGTTTTCCCTCCTCCCATGCCCCACCTGCTCCTTTCCCCATAATCTGCATCTCCATGAAAGGCACATCCAGGCATCCCAAAGCTGAGTTTTCAGAGCAGTGTCATCTTTAACTTTTCCCAATACCTTATTCTCAATATCCAATCAGTCATTAAGTACTGAAATTTTTTTAGTCCTGTCAATTTTTTTTTTATTTAAGCTAAATCTAGCAGTGAGGGGTTGTATACCAACTTTAATGACACTAATGTTAATTAGTTCTGATAACCCACTACCATCAGACAAGCCTAGTCCTGTCGATTTTAACAATTTTTAACTCTCTATCCATTCCTGTTTTCCATTGCCTTAGACCATTTTGTGTTACTATAAAGGAATATCTGAGGCTGGGTAATTTATAAAGAAAAGAGGTTATTTGGCTCATGGTTCTGCAGCCTGGATAAGAAGCATGACACCAGCATCTGCAATTGGTGAGGGCCTCAGGCTGCTTCTACTCATGGCAGAAGGGGAAGGAGAGCTGGTGTGTGCAGAGATCACATGCCAAGGGAGGAAGCAAGGGGTTGGGGGAGGTGCCAGGCTCTTTTTAACAACTAGCTCTCATGAAAAGTAATAGAGCAAGAACTCACTCATCCCCAAGGAAGGGCAACACTCTATTCATGAGGAATCTCCCTCCGTTAGGCCTGGCCCTACCCGCAACATTGGGATCAAATTTCAACATGGGGTTTGGGAGGACAAACATCCAAACTACAGCACATTCTAAAAGTCACTGTTCTAATTCAGGTCCAAAGTCTTTTCTTCTAGTACTACACTAGCTTCCTAACTGGTAACCCTAAACACCAACTCTTTGACTTCCAGTCTGATCTTCCCAGTATCACTAGCATGATTTTTCTAAGACACAGAACTGATCTAGGTATTCCCCTAACCCAAACAGCTCCCAGTCGTCCACAGCAACATGGCTCAAGTGTTCCACAGATCCCTACAATTTTGGGAATATGCCTCAGGGAACAAAAGAAAGACTGAATAAGGTGAGTTTTGGGCCTTCCACCTGGCTTTAACCAGAGATCTGCTTTTATCTGTTGTATATATTAGGGTTCCTTGAAAGATGGATAAGGAGAAGGAGAAAAGGAGGAGGAGGAGAAGAGGAGGAAAAAGGAGACGAATTCCCAGTACTGTATCTACTGTATCAGTCTGGGTTCAATCAAGAGAGAGAAACCATACAGTAATTTGGACAAGGAAAGTTTAATATAAAGATTATTAACTATAGTGGGAATTGGGACCATGAAGGATTGGATAGTAAGAAGTAAAGAGAACTCCAAAGAATAAAAGAATACCAGATATAAGTATCAGCCATATTCTTTGAGCTGGGACATAGCACCCAAGGAAGAAGACCCCCTAGGCTGGGGCCCAGACGTGGGAGGGCATAGGTACAGTGCACTGGGTGGCAGAGAAGTTGCTGTGGTGCTGTATTGGCAGAACTTCCTGGAAATCTGCCCTTTGGAATTTACCAGAAGTCTGTCCTCTAGGGTGCCAGGGAAAGCTGTTCATGGGGAGGTGTCTCACAGAGGCACTTCACTAGAAAGCCATTCAAGGGAGGAGGTGGTGCCAGGGGAGGCTGCTGACTACCATGCACTGGCGAGGCTGGTGCTGGGGAGGCCGCCCACAAGCCACAGAAGCCTGCTGAGAAGCACACTAAAGCCAGAGCAAAACCCCTTCCTCTTGCAATGTCTCTCCAGAGCCCTCTACTGGCATAGCTTGACATTGTGCCATCTGATAAAGGGAAAATATTTATAGGGCCCATATGTATTTTCACAAAGCAGGCAAAAAGGGCTAATTTAGAGCTCAGAGACAAGAAATTGATAATTGACACAAGCATTTTATTTTATTTTATTTTTGAGGCAGGGTCTCATTTTATCACCAGGGTTAGACTGCAGTGGCATGATCATAGTTCACTGCAACCTCTAACTCCTGGGTTCAAGTGATCCTCCTGCCTCAGCCTCCCACGTAGCTAGGACTATAGGCATGCGCCACCACATCCAGCTTATTTGTGTGTGTGTGTGTGTGTGTGTGTGTGTGTGTGTGTGTAGATGGGGTCTTTCTATGTTGTCCAGGCTGTTCTCAAACTCCTGGGCTCAAACAACCTTGCCGCTTTTGCCTCCCAAAGTGCTGAGATTATAGGCATGAGCCTCCATGCCTGCAGCACATGCATTTTAAAAATAATTAAAAGCAAAAACAATCACCATTGGTCTACACATTCATTTCTCTCATCTTCTGGATGTTTACATAGTTCATGCAATTTGTGCTTAGACAGAGTCCACCCCGCCTGGAGTACAATGGTCTGATCATAACTCACTGCAGCCTCCAGCTCCTGAGCTCAATCAGTTCTCCTGTCTCAGCCTCCTAAATTGCTGGGATTACAAGTGTGAGCCACCATGCCCAGCTCGCTTCATCATTTTTTAATTAAGAAAGCCACTGCAAGTATCCCAACATCATCATTCTTCTAGGTTAAGCTGAAATATAGCCTCCTCGGTGAAGCTTTCTCCAATCTTTCAAATCAGAATTGACTATTCTTACTTACGTGTTCCCATAATTTTTGTTTATACACCTTTATGATGCCAGGAGAACATAGCTAGCTGAATCACTTTTCCAGAACAGTCCAGGAAATTAAACTTTTCTTTCTGAATATGTAATATCAGGAAAACTGCATATGAGGGAATAAGGAGACACCACAAGTCCAGTTTGCCAGATCAATGGAATCAGTTCAGGGGATCCATGTGGTGACTGACATTGCAGCCAGATTCACATCTTTTCCAGAGTGGGAAACATTATTTACATCTTAGTATCTTCCTAGTGTCCTACCCATTTAGCAAACAATAAACACTGAATTGAACGTTTAGTGAACTACCTTTCCCAGGAGTCAAAGCTTTAAATTTTTCAAAACATATCTAATGTGTGGATGCAGAAAGGTAGGAACACTCCTACACTGCTGGTGGGACTGCAAACTAGTGCAACCTCTGTGGAAAGCAATGTGGAGATACCTTAAAGAGGTACAAGTAGATCCACCAGCAATTCCATTGATCCATTTGATCCAGCAATTCCATTACTGGGCATCTACACAAAGGAAAAAAAAAGACATTCTATAATAAAAAAATCTGTACTCTAATGTTTATGGCAGCACAATTCACAATTGCAAAGATGTGGAAATGACCCAAGTGCCCATCAATTCATGAGTGGATTAATAAAATGTGGTATATGTAAACCATGGAGTTCTACTCAGCTACAAGAAACTGGCTATTTAGCACCTCTTATATTATCCTGCATAGAGCTGGAACCCATTCTACTAAGTGAAGTATCCCAAAAATGGAAAAATAAGCACCACATGTAGTCACCAGCAAATTGGTTTCACTGACCAACACCTAAGTGCACATATAGGAGTAACATTTATCGGGCGTTGAGCAGACGGGAGGGGCAGGAGGGGTGGGCACGCACGTACATAACGTGTGCACTGCGCACCGTCTGGGGGAGAGACACCCTTGAAGCTCTGACTCTGGGGAGGAAGGGGTGCAAGGCAATATACGTAACTTAAACATTTGTATCCCCATCATATGCTGAAATAAAATCAATCAATAAATAAAATATCCCAGCTACTCCGGAGGCTGAGGCAGCAGGATTGCTTGAGCCCAGGAGTTTGAGGTTGCTGTGAGCTAGGCTGACACCACGGCACTCACTCTAGCCTGGGCAACAGAGTGAGACTCTGTTTCAAAATAAATAAATAAATAAATAAAATAAAATTAAATAAAAACATGAAAAAAAAATGCAGACAGATATACCAGGAGAATAAATGTAGAGATATACAATGTTCCTGAATGGGAATACTAAATATTATTAAAGTAATTATTTAATTCTCAAGTAATTTAAAGGTTTAATGTGATTCCCATAAAAATTTTCTAAATATATATATGTATATACATATATCTAATAATAGAATTTCAGACATTACTCATGATAAGAAACCTCTCATCTAGTCAAAAGATGGGTCATGGCTGGGCGCGGTGGCTTGCGCCTGTAATCCTAGCACTCTGAGAGGCTGAGGTGGGCGGATTGCTCAAGGCCAGGAGTTCAAAACCAGCCTGAGCAAGAGGAAGACACTGTCTCTACTATAAATAGAAAGAGATTGATTGGCCAACTAATATATATAGAAAAAATTAGCCGGGCATGGTGGCACATGCCTGTAGTTCCAGCTACTCGGGAGGATGGCTTGAGCCAGGAGTTTGAGGTTGCTGTGAGCTAGGCTGACGCCATGGCACTCTAGCCTGGGCAACAAGTGAGACTATCTCAAAAAAAAAAAAAAAGATGAGTCTTTAAAACTACAGGTAATTACAATGCATGGAATCTCCAAATCTCTTTTCAGTTAGGATATATATGAGCTCACCCTTCATTCTTTCTAAACATATTACACACCTGCAAACAAATAGAGAAAACAATGTCTGGTCTTAGCTGCTTCTTTTTCATACATAAAGCCCATCTTTCTGTGGAGGTGCCATCGAATAGGTTAAATCACCCCTCACATACCCCACTACACCCAATCCTACCTATACCCCCACACACCGCCTGACCAGGAAGGCAGAAGGGTAAGGTGGGCCAGGACGACATTCAGTGTCTGCGTTACAGTCAATTGACTTGAACACTTTTAATCACAAGAATTTACAACCCCACCCATTTGCCATCTCAGTTCATCTTCATATCAACTGTATGAGATAAAAGAAAGGAATAATATTATTCCCTTTTACAAACATGAAACTACAAACACAAATCTTAAGAAGCCATGTGTCCATCCCATACTTGAGACCACTGTTTCACAAGGGTCCTGTGGTAGTTTGCTGACATAAAATCACACTTAGAAACTAGAACTCCTCCTTAGAGTTCAAATATTTGTTTTAGTTTCAAATATTTGCTTTGATTGGGAAGCATATCCAAAACAAGCATTGATTTTTTTTCATTTCCTTCATAACTTTTACAAGCATTGATTTTTTTTTTTTTTTTTTTTTTGAGACAGAGTCTCACTTTGTTGCCCAGGCTAGAGTGAGTGCCGTGGCGTCAGCCTAGCTCACAGCAACCTCAAACTCCTGGGCTCGAGTGATCCTTCTGCCTCAGCCTCCCGGGTAGCTGGGACTACAGGCATGCGCCACCATGCCCGGCTAATTTTTTATATATATATCAGTTGGCCAATTAATTTCTTTCTATTTATAGTAGAGACGGGGTCTCACTCTTGCTCAGGCTGGTTTTGAACTCCTGACCTTGAGCAATCCGCCCGCCTCGGCCTCCCAAGAGCTAGGATTACAGGCGTGAGCCACAGCGCCCGGCCACAAGCATTGATTTTAATAATGGAAACGAAGCAACCATTTGCTCTGAAATCCTGTTTATAAAAAGAAAAGGTGTAGGAAATATAAGGACACAAATCCAAAATACATAAACAGGACTATTTGAACGAGCTGACTGGCAGAAACTGGTTTCAATCATTCCCAGCGTTGTATTCTATTGTTAGATCAACTGATCTGCATGTTAACTAGCTGACCACAAGTGGTGAGTTGAGGGAGTAGGAAGGCTTTTCACAGGTCCACTTGAAGCAAACAACTGCATGTGATGACTGGATTTACAAAACAGATAAGGCAAGGTGGGAGAATTACTTAAGTTAGGGAATGATTAAGTTCTAAAAAGATTTTCTATGCGTTTCCTTTAAATGAGAGTTCTCATAATGTATCTAAAAGCATGATTTCATTTACAAAAATTCTATTCAATCTCACCTATCAAGAAGTATCTAACTTTAATTTAAAAATTAGAAAATGAATTTAATTCATATTAAATTGCAATAGATTCTATGAAGAGATAGCAAGATCCTAAGTAGAAAAAAGCAAAATTACAATCTATTAGTGGAGATAAAACTAACGTATTATAAATACGCAAACATGTCAGGAACAGTTAAGCATAAAGCATATAGTGAATCTAAACAACCTTGACACAGGAGAATCAAAGAAATAATTTCAAAAGTTTTGTAACAGTGATAGGTAAAATGAGCGATTGTCTACATGCCCAGTGAACTGGGAGGAATACCGATTCTGGGGAAGCTCACCACCAATAGCACCTTCAATTAATCTGCTCACTTCAGTTGCACCTCCTGCTTCTCCTTAACCCTTAGTCACACTCAGTTTTTTTCTGCAGTTTCCATATCTACCTTGCAACAATTAGATTCCAAAATAAAGCTACAAAAGAAAGGACATACTAGAAATTTTAAGATTTATACCCAGAACTCTAAGGAACAGAAAGCTTCAAAATTTAATGATTTGTGCACCTTTATCGTTTTCTTAGGATATTATAAGGATACAAAGATATGAAAAGATTAGGCAACCTTTAAAACTTTTTTATTCTGAAATAATTGTAAGATAGTACAAGGAACTCTCATATGCTCTTCAACTAAATTCACCAATTGTTAACATTTTGTAATATTTGCTTTATTAATCTCTATTTGATCCATTTGAGAGTAAATTGAAGGATCATTCCCCTCTACCCTTAAATATAGGACACCTCTGAGATCTTGTGGGTTCAGTTCCAAATCACCACAATAAAGCAAATAACAATAAAACAAGTCACACCAATTATTTTTTTTGTTTCCCAGTGTATATAAAAGTGTTTACACTATACTGTGGTCTACTAACTGTGCAGTAGCTTTATGTCTAAGAAAGTACATACCTTAATTTAAAAATACTTTATTGCTGAAAAATGCTAATGATTATCTGAGCTTTCAGTGAGTCATAATCTTTCTGCTGGTGGAGGGTCTTTTCTTGATGTTGGTGGCTGCCGACTTACCAGGGTGGTGGTTGCTGAAACTTGGGCTGGCTGTGGCCATTTCCTGAAATAAGACAACAATGAAGTTTGCCATGTCAATTGACTCTTTCACAAAGATTCCTCTGTAGCTTATGATGCTGTTTGATAACATTTTGTCCACACTAAAATGTCTTTCAAAATTAGAGTCAATCCTCTCACACCCTGCTGCTGCTTTATCAGCTAAGTTTATGGACTATTCTAAATTCTTCGTTGTCATTTCAGCAATGTTCATAGCACCTTCACCAGGAGTAGTTTCCATCTCAAGAAACAACTTGTTTTGCTCATCTATAGGAATCAACTCCTCATCTGTTCAAGTTTTATCATGGATTGCAGCAATTCAGTCACATCTTCAGGCTCCATCCACTTTTAATTCTAGTCTTTTGCTATTTCCACCACAACTACAGTTACTTTCTCCACTAAAGTCATCCACGAGGGCTGGAATCAACTTTTTCCAAACTCCTGTTAATGTTGCTATTTAGACCTCTTCCCAGGAATCACGAATGTTCTTAATGGCATCTAGAAAGGTGAATCCAGCCAGGATTGGATATCCCGGCCAATAGTCCCAGGTACTTGGGAGGCAAGGTAGGAGGATTGCTTGAGCCCAGGAGTTTGAGACCAGCCTGAGCAACAAAGCAAGACCCTGTCTCTAAAAAACAAACAAACAAACTAAATTAGGTGGGCATGCCTGTAGTTCTAGTTATTTGGAAGGCTAGGGCAGGAGGATCACTTGAGCCCAGGAGTTTGAGTTTGTAGTGAGTTATAATCACACCACTGCACTATATAGCTCAGGCAACAGAGAAAAACCTTGTCTCAAAAAAATAAAAATTAAAAGAAATTAGAATATTGAATCCTTTCCAGAAGGTTTTTTTTTTTTTTTTTTTTTGAGACAGAGTCTCACTCTGTTGCCCAGGCTAGAGTGAGTGCCGTGGCGTCAGCCTGGCTCACAGCAACCTCAATCTCCGGGGCTCAGCGATCCTACTGCCTCAGCCTCCCAAGTGTCTGGGACTACAGGCATGCGCCACCATGCCCGGCTAATTTTTTGTATATATATTTTTAGTTGGTCAATTAATTTATTTCTATTTTTGGTAGAGACGGGGTCTCGCTCAGGCTGGTTTCGAACTCCTAACCTTGAGCAATCCGCCCGCCTCGGCCTCCCAAAGTGCTAGGATTACAGGCGTGAGCCACCACGCCCGGCCTGAATCCTTTCCAGAAGGTTTTTAACTTACTTTGC